AGTTATCAAATATCACATGATCTCACTCATACATGAAATCTAGTGAACAAAATAAAACTGATTAACAAAATAGATCCAGAGATACAGAAGCGTAGAACAGACTGGCGAATCTCAGAGGGAAAGTGGGGGTGGGTGGTGGGTGGGGAGAGATTAACCGAAGAACTTATATGCATAGCCCATGAACACAGACAACAGTGTGGTGAAGGCCTAGGGGAGGGATAGGAAAAGGGGGAGGGGGACAATGGGAAAAAAAGGGGGGATCTGTAATACTTTCAACAATAAAGATAAATTTAAAAATATATAGAACTGTCATATGATCCAACAATTCTACTTTTGAGTATTTATCCAAAGAAAACAAAAACACTTAATTTGAAAAGATATATGCACCATGCTCACTGCAGCATTACTAGTAATAGCCAAGATATGAAAACAACCTAGGCATTGATTGATAGATGAATAAATAAAAATTTGTGTACAAATTAAATATTATTCAGTCAGAAAAAGAATGAAATCTTGGCATTTGTGACAACATGGATAGAACTAAAGGTATTATGCTAAGTGAAGTAAGTTAGAGGATGATAAATACCATATGACATCACTTATATGTAGAATCTAAAAAAAATCCCTAAATGAATAATCAAAACAAAACAGACTCATAGATATAGAGAATAAGCTGATGGCTGCCAAAGGGGAGGAGGTGGGGGATGTGACTAAAAATAACAAAAAAAAATTAAAAATGGGCAAAGGACTTGAGTAGACATTCTCCCAAAAACAGTACACAAATGGCCAATTTGTAGAAATTTGCATTTTGTAGAAATAAGCACATGAAAAGATACTCAGCAACAGCAGTCATTAGGAAAATGCAAATAAAAATCACAATGAGACACAACTTTATATCCATCAGAACGTGATTACAAAAAAACAACAACAAAACACCATAGAAAATAACTGTTGGTAAGGATATAGAGAAATTGAAACCATGTACACTGCTGGTGGAAATGTAAAATGTGTAGCCAAAGCAGAAAATAATGTGGTGTTTCCTCAGAAATTTAAACTTGAAATTACCATATGCCACTAAACTGTACACTTAAAATGGTTAAAATGGTAAACTTTGTTATGTATATTTTACCACTATAAAATCTGTAAAATAAATGCATGCATAGGACCTATCACTTAAATGTTGTAATTAAAGACCAGATGTGACATAACATCAACATGGAAGAATATCACCAAAGAATATCAACTGATTCATTGATAGTGTTCTAGGCATCCTAATGAGATTTTTAAAGAAGGAACTAAGTCTAAAGGACAACATCATTACTAATATATTTCTTTGCACGTCCCAACTTTTATGATCCTGTTTCTTCAAATGTAAAATGTGAATTAGATTATTGAAGATCACATAAATCAGAGTTTTTAAAAAAGTGATGGATACATAACTGTATATTTGTTTAGAAACAAATATTAGAGAGCATGAAAGCATTATTTTTTCTGTTGCAAATAAACACATGAAAAAATTATGGAACTATGTATAAGAAAATGTTTGCATTTTCCCATGTAAGCTGAATTCTGTAACAAATTTTGCAAATAGTTTCCTGTGCTGCTTTAAGAAAGAAGCTTGTTTATTTTAACAGTTAGCTTTGGAACCAGAAGACAAATTGCCCAAATAACAAAAAAATGTACAAATTGTTCTTCATTTTGAAGTTGTAACCATCAGCCTGTAGAGACCAACTACTACCTTCCAAACTTGTTTAAAATTACTCATTATTTGAATCCATATAAGAAATAAAATGACAAGTTAATGTTAAAACTTTAGTTTCATTAAGTCTATATTTTTAAGTTATTACCTGGAATCAAGAGAAGTAAAAAGTTGATCAAACTGTTTCTCCAGATCCTTTAAAAGACTGGCTGTCTCCTCTTGTGTTTGATTGTGTATGTGTTCAAGCATCTAGGAAGAACATAATACAAAGACCTAATTTGGTATTTTTATTTTGTAGAAATTGTACTGTTCAAAATAATTCTGAAAATAAAAGGCACTTTATGGACTTTTCAAAATAACAACACAAGAGAAGATCAGATGATAAACTTCAAATCCTGGTACCTCTCACATCTTTGTTGGCACGGGATACTGACAAACTGACAAAATGGCCTAGAAAATACACTAAGTTTTCTAAACTTGTTTCTTATCCTGTTTTGTCATTACAGGAAATATGTAATTTTAAATAGCTGAATTTCTCTCTGGAACCTTTCCTTAAATTAAAAAAGTAACATTTGAATCCAAGTATTTTTAAAATATTGACTATTCTACAAACTGCATTTTTAAACAAAGAAGTGTTCCTTGAGATCTGTGACCCCTTTTTTTCCTTCAAATTTCTCCCTTTTGGAATGGGAATGTCTATCCTATTCTTGTCCAACCAATTATTTTAGAAGCAAATAATTTACTCCCTAGTTTCACAGATTCACTGTTAAAGAGGAATTTGGCCCTTGAGTTCAACTCATACTTCATTTAGAAGAAAATTAGATGAGATTTTGGATTTAGAGCTGACACTGGAATAGGTTAAGACTACGTTGGGTGGGTGAATGAATGTATTTTGCATGTGAGAAGGACATAAGCCTGGGGGAGTGGAGCAGAGGACCCACTGTTATGAACCGCGCCCCCTTCCCAAGTTCATATGTTGAAGCCTTAACTCCCATATCAGCTATAATCTTTTCAGTGCCTTGGCTGTAGGTTTGTTGTTTCTTGTTCTTTGTCACCAAATGAATGAGCCTCTCTTTTGGGGAATGGGGTAAGGGAGAAAAGAAAGTAAGACTATTGATGTAAGGGTATACAGCCAAGTACTGAGCATGTTAGAAAGATGATCTGCAATGCTCAGAGATAAGAAATCATGGTTCCTCGATAGAGCTTCTTCATTAGTGGGCTGCTAACACAATGCTGCATGACCAATCCCAGCAGGCCATGGGAGTTTCCCAGTCTTCTGTGTATTTCTCTGTCACTAGATTATCATGCTTAATAATCTCTAACTTCAGTCTTAGTATATGCAAGTATACATATTTAAAGAGACTATGCCCTAATAATTGATAGAATTTAATCATTCAAAATGCTTACTTTTACAGCAATACTTAATTGTTCAAAATTATTGCCTGCTATCTTTAGTGCTTCATCAATTTCTTCTGTAGTTTTAGTCTCCTAAAAAGAGGAAGGGGGACCATATACAAATATAAAAATAGATACTTAGATATATTAGTCACAAAAACATCAGGCTACTATTTTGGTTACAAAAGCAACATAGACCTACCAAAGAAATCTGCAAACAATCAAGAAAAATAAGACTGTTCATCTTACTTACCCATCATACTTACCATAGCATTTTAGAGTTTCAGCTATAGCATTCCAGATTTTTTAAAGATAACTTTTTGAAAAACTAAGATTATGTCCTGTAACCATTTTGAAGTTTAAAACTATCTTGAAAAATTTATCATGGCAATAAATGTACACATGTAAAAATGAATAATTTAAGGAAAATATAATTTGGTTATGTTAACATTTAAACTTGAAGTAAAAGATAGCAAGATTAAGTGCTCTCTCTCATCCACCAGCCCACCAAAAATCTCCTTAACAGCCTTGTCTAGTGGTTCAGTTGGTTGGAGCATTGTCCCATACACCAAAGGTTGTGGGTTTGACCCCCAGTCAGGGTGCATATGGGAGGCAACTGATCTCAATGTTTCTTTCTCTCTCCCCTCTTCTTTCCTCTTCTCTCAAATCAATAAAAACATATCCTCTAGTGAGGATTAGAAAAAAAGGTCTCTGTAACAAAAGAACAATACTTCATTCAATAGCATTTTGGAGTTTGTTCTTTTTTCTAGTCTTAAATTTAAAAAATATACTAAAGTTATCAGGTGCAGTAACAGGTAAAATTGAATCTTCCAACATCATCATCGTCATCATCATCAATAACAAATGCCATAGGCCTTTTGGATGCCATTAAAATAATTGGAAAAAATCACACTTAGAATTTTGAAACGTGTACTTTATATACATTTCACAGAATCTGAATTCAATAACTAGGTTTAAAGGGAAGAAGCTACATATAGGTAAGTATCAAGAACATTAACAGAGTTGTCAAAGGTAGCATGAGCTGCCTTGGGAATAAAAGTGAATCTGTTCAAGCACAGTTGGAATAAAACAAGAGGTTCAAGTAAGGAGTGTGTTTACCTCTTACCTTTAAGCTTTCTAAAAGAATCTGTAATTATAGGAACCTTGAGAGGAGAGGAAATTTAAGCTACCAGAGACAAAGTAAAAATGTCTGGCTTCATCTTACTTCACAAAATAACATTTTTCATACCGCCATTACAGCTGATGAATTCAAAACAGTCCTGTGTGTGGATGGTGAACCAACGTGTTCTAAACCAATAGTTAGCTGATCAGCAGTCTTTTTAAAGTCCTGAGAACAATTCTTTATCCTGAAAAATGTCAAGTACATTATTTTAAATACAACATTAATAAAACAGTTTTAACTTTCTATTCTGATGTTTACTCTCTATAAAAAATAATTCATGTGATGACTTGTAAGAACACACACATTGGGTTCTCAATCATCTATGATAAGCAAAGAGAGGAAACCATGATTAAATACACTTTCATATAAAACTTAATTTTAATAGAGAATTCAATTCCTTAACAAATTTCTAAAAATAATAGCTTACAGCATAAATTGTGCTTTAATTTCCTAACCACCTCTCATTACCTGATATTTTTTAGTAGAGATGTTGATAATCATTGAACTGTCTTAAACTCAATTATAGTCAGTACTTATACACATAAATGCCAGCTATTAAAAATGTACTTACATAGCCCTGGATAATTTACAAAAAGGTAATGAATTTGCTACATAAGTTAATTTTCAAGGAAAAAGTTCCATTTCTCATCTATTTTTACCTTTATAACCTCATATTGGCTAGCACACAGTAAGCACTGTGTTTGCTGAATAAGTTACTCAAAACCTATAACAATTTATAGAAGAAACTATGATGTTTAATGTTAATCTTATAAAGAGAAATAGACTAAATAATTTTTAAACATTCAATTACTTTGAAAAGTGAACATCCATGTTCTTAAAATATGAGTGGATTAGCCCTGAGTAGTCCATATTCAATTCCTATTACAAAATAGTAAAGATAAATCATAAAGAAAATATATTAGATATCAAGGGATGCTTCTATTTAAAATATACAACTACTAGAGGCCCAGTGCACGATATTCATGCATGGGTAGGGTCCCTAGGCCTGGCCGGTGATATGTGGGGCAACCGGTGGAGTGATCAGGGGGGCCCCTGCTGGCACCTGCCTTGGCCGGCCTGGCGCTGCCTGCTTGCCAGTCCCGTCCCCCGCCAACACCACCGGCCCACTTGCCGGCCAGCCCAGACCCCTAATTGCCCCACCGCCACCACCGGTCACCTCCTTCCCCAGCACTGATTGTGCACTGGTGGGGTCTCTCAGCCCAGCCTGCGCCCTCTCGCAATCCGGGACCCCTTGGGGGATGCCAGAGAGCCAGTTTTAGCCCAATCCCGCAGGCCAGGCTGAGGGACCTCACTGGTGCATGAATTCGTGCACCAGGCCTCTAGTCCTCATATAAATCACCTCTCAATCTATCTCTTCCCCAAATCCTCCACTGTATTGTACTCTTGCTCCTCTCAACAGTCAACAGAGAAGTTCTTACTCTTTCTCCATGTCTTATTCTCACCCAGCACCAACAGCTTCTGCTAGAATCATACTCTCGGCTATCCTTGATTTGACATGGTAATCTTGCTTTCCTTTATTTTCACACTTTTTAAAAAATATTTTATTGATTTTTTACAGAGAGGAAGGGCGAGGGATGGAGAGTTAGAAACATCGATGAGAGAGAAACATCGATCAGCTGCCTCCTGCACCCCTCCTACTGGGGATGTGCTCACAACCAAGGTACGTGCCCTTGACCGGAATCGAACCTGGGACCCTTCAGTCCGCAGACCGATGCTCCATCTACTGAGCCAAACCGGTTAGGGCTTTCTCCCCGCCCCCCCCCCCACTTTTAATAAGGACAAACTAATACTGCTTCCTTAGGAGCTGGATTCTCCATTTAATTAACAGCTAAGACAAATTATAAACTTAAATAGCACTTTATAAGCAATGGGTTAGAAACAATGATCTAAAAATGATATTTTAGTAATGCTAAAATTACTCTTTTAGAAATATATATTTCTGAAAGAGTAATTTTAAATACTAAAGAGAACTTTAAATACTAAAATAAGTGCACATAGAACATACTTTTTAGGCTGCAGTTTGTCCATAAAAGAACCTTCTTTAAGATATCCATCTATTGGATAGTATCCTTGTCTAGTATTTATAGATGTAGCAACCTTAGGACAAAATAAGGAAAACAAAAACAGAAAGTCAGTCAATAATTTCTGTTTATGCAGAAATCAACCAACCAATGTGCCATTCACAGATAAATTTGATAATAGCCTTAAAGATCCTAGAAACCTCATTAAATCAAAGAAAAAAGTTGTGTGTGTGTGTGTGTATATATATGTGTGTATATATATTGTTGGTACATATGAGAACAATAGATTATTTGATTTTAATAGATTCCCAGTCAGTGAATACATACATATATATATATGTTTTTACCCTATTTTATTCAGTAAACACATCAGTAATTTGGCAATTATGAGTTAAACAGAACATTAAATTAACTAAAACACTTCATTTTATCACAATTCTAAAGAAATGCTTGCAACAATACTTTAAAATTTTACTGTAGCCCTGGCCAGTGTTGCTCAGTGGTTAGAGTGTTGGCCTGTGCACCAGAGGGTTGTGGGTTTGATTCCCAGTGAAGGGCATGTACCTGGGTTGCAGCTTAGTCTCTGGCCCTGGTTGGGGGCACCTGCAGGAGACAACCAATTGATGTGTGTCTCTCTCACATCGATGTTTCTCTTTCTCTCTCTCTCTCTCTCTCTCTCTCCCCACTGCCTCCCTCCATTCCACAATCTCTAAAAAATCAATGGAAAAAATGAGTGAGGATTAAAAAAAAAACTTACTGTAAAAATTTTACAATGATATGTTAAGGTATGTTCAAAAATTTAAACTTAAGATAAATCTATAATAATAAAAGCACAATATGTTAATTAGACTGGACATCCTTCCAGACGAAGCCGAAGCTGTGAGGGAAGCCCAGGTCCCAGGTGCCTGCTGGTGGCCAGAGGGAAGCCAGTGCCAGCAGCCGGGAGAAGGAAGTTCCTACTCTTGCACACATTTTGTCCATCAGGCCTCTAGTTTAATAAGAAAAATATAAGCTCTAAGAAAAGAAAACCAAGTAACTTATTGGGGATTATAAAACAAGAACTGAATAAATGGAGAATGATATCAGGTTCCTGGAAACAAAGATTTAATATCCTAAACTACAACTAATATAAATAGAATTCTCAAGTTCACATGGAAAATACATTATGTAAGAATTATAATTTTAACATACCATTTGGGAGAGATTTATCCCACCAGAGAATAAACCTACTATAATTGAAACACTAGGGTGCTGGCACAATAGAAAACAAGAGTCCTAAAATAGATCCATATATACATGGGAACTTAATACAGAATACAAATAACACTTCAATTCAACAGAAGAGGGAGTATTCAATAATTATTCTCGGAAAGTCAATTCATCATTCTGAAGAATAAAGTTTATACCTACTTTACAGCATATATGAATAGTTAAAAAGATCAAGTACAAACCTTTAAAAAGCATGATATAAGTATTAAAATATATATAACTCTGAGATGGGAAGGTTTGTCTAATCAAAGAAAACCAGAAACCATGAAGGAGGGGGAAAAAGGCTAAAGAGGGAAACATTTCTGAAAGGCTCAATGTAATAAAAAATTTAAGTGAAAGATTGGGAGAAAATAGTTAAAAACACAGAACAAAGTGTTAACATCCCTATCACATAAAGTGTTTCTACAAGTTACGAAAATACAAGTCAAAAGGGAAATATGCAAATTCTCTCAAAGGGTCTACTGAAAGTTACTCAATTTCACTAATAGTCAGGGAATTGCAATTTAAGACAAGGAGATATCCATTTTTGCCCATCAAACTGCCAAACATTAAAACAAATATAACAAATTGAAACATGGCTTTATCTTGAAGCTAGAGATTAACAGAACTTGCTAATGGAATATTTTTGGTAGGGGTAGGTTTGAAGAACTATGTAAATATATAGAGAAAAATTGTGAAAACCACCTAAATGTTTATAATGAATAAATTAGGTAAGAATCACACCAATTGTGTACAATTGTTTATTATGTAGGCATTAAAAGTAATGCAGGAGACTCTCATGAGAAAAAGTTAATGTTGCTAAGAGAAAGCAGATGACTAAATGTTATGTGGTCTCAAATTTAAATACACATCTTTGGTGTGGAAGATGATGGTCTGTCAAGATTTTAAGTATGATACATTATTAATTAGGGGGAAAGTGTTACTTTTAACAAATCACATTGAACCAAATGTTATTTTTAAGAAATCCTCTTCCCAAAACTGAAGGCTAAAACCTTAATTTCTATCTGCCTCCTCATTTATTTCCTTTTGACTTGACATTTCATAGTAAGAGGTTAGTGTGATTATCAACAGATTTATTTTTTAAAGAAACATGCCCTCAAGATTTTATTGTCACACTAGAGGCCCAGTGCACAAATTCATAAACAGTGGGGCACCAAGGGGGTGGGGATGGGGTCAGGGGACACGATTGGCCCTCTGGGCAGGCGGTGAGACGCCCTTGCCACCCTGGGATCCTGTCCTGCTGACATTCACACCGGTTGTCAGGAGCCACCTGGTGGCCGCTTTTATATTGTTTCTTCCTTGCAGAGAGTCTAGGGAAGGGAAGTGGCCGCAGTGCTGGAGGCCGACTTCCAGGAGGCCAATAGCACTGTCAGGATCGTGCTGGTGGCAGTGGTCCATTGGTGCCTGGCCTGTTCTCCAGAGATTGGACCTGCAGCACTACTGAGGGAGTGAGTGGCTGCCATTGGGCTGGTGGGCCGCTGGGCCAGTCAGCTGAGTGGCGCTCCCACTGTGGGAGCACATGGACCACCAGGGGCAACTCCTGAGTTGAGCATATGCCCCCTGGTGGTGAGTGTGCATCATAATGACCGGTCATTTGGTCGCTTAGGCTTTTATATATATAGACAATAAAACAAAATATGAAGCTTTGAACTGGATCACTCTTATCTCCTCCCAGTTCAAAATGCTTGCATCTCTTTAGTTTTTAAAAAAATCTTTATTGCTGAAAGTATTACATATGTCCCCACTTTTCCCCCATTGACCTATTCTACCTGCCCCCCCATCCTGCCCCAGGCCTTCACCACCCTATTGTCTGTGTCCAGGGTTTATGCATATATGCATACAAGTTCTCTGGTTGATGTCTTCCCACCCAACCACCCTCCTCCACCTTCCCTTAGAGGTTCCATAGTCTATTCCATGCTTCTATGTCTCTGAATCTATTTTGTTCATCAGTTTATTTTGTTCATAAGATTCCACATATGAATGAGATCATGTGATACTTACCTTTCTCTGATTGACTTATTTCGCTCAGCATAATACTTTCCAGGTCCATCCATGCTGTTGCAAATGGTAAGAGTTCTTTATTTTTTACAGCTGCATATTATTCTATTGTGTAAATGGACCACAGCTTTCTTATCTAATTATCTGCTAATGGGCACTTGGGCTGTTTCCAAATTCTGGCTATCATAAATTGTGCTATGAACATAGGGATGCATATATTCTTTCTGATGTTTGTTTCTTAAAATATATTTCTCAAAGTGGGATCACTGTGTCAAATGAGAATTCCATTTTCAATTTTTTGAGGAAACTCCATACTGTTTTACAGTGCTGAACTAGTCTGCATTCCCACCATCAGTGTACGGGGTTCCCTTTTCTCCACATCATCACCAACAATTGTCATTTGATGATTTGTTGATGGTAGCCATTCTGACAGGTATGAGGTGATACCTCACTGTTGTTTAATTTGCATCTCTCCAATGATTAGTGACTTTGAACATTTTTTCATATGCATCTTGGCCATCTGTATGTCCACTTTGGAGAAGTGTCTATTAGGTCCTTTGCCCATTTTTTAATTGGATTGTCTTTCTTTTATTAAGTTGTATGAGTTCCTATATATTTTGGAAATTAACCCCTTATTGTTGTATCATTTCCAAATATGTTCTCCCAGTGTGCTCCCTTTTCATTTTGTTGATGGCTTCTTTTGCTGTGCAGAAGCTTATTTTTATGTACTCCCATTTGCTTTTCTCCTTAGTTTCCTTTGCTCTGAGGTATGTATCCGTAAACATATTGCTACGAGAGATGTCTAAGATTTTTATGCCTATGGTTTCTTCTAGGATTTTTATGGTTGCACAACTTACATTTAAGTCTTTTATACATTTTGAGTTTATTCTTGTGTATGGTGTAAGTTGGTTATCTAGTTTCATTTTCTTGCATATACCTGTCCAATTTTCCAAACACCCTTTATTGAAGAGACTGTCTTGACTCCACTGTATTCTCTTGCCTCCTTTGTCAAATATTAAAGCATAATGGCTTGGGTCATTTTCTGGGTTGTAGTATAACTTGATATCTGGTAATGTGGTTCCTCCAACTCTGTTCTTTCTCAAGATTGTTGCACCTATTTGGGGTCATATTTGGTTCCATATACATTTTTGGAGCGTTTGTTCTAGAACTGTAAAATATGCTGTTGGTCTTTTATTAGGGACTAGAGGCCCGGTGCACGAATTCATGCACCAATGGGGTTCCTCAGCCTGGCCTGTGGGATCAGGCTGAAATTGGGTCCCGGATTGCGAGAGGGTGCAGGCTAGGCTGAGTAACCCCACCGGTGCATGATCGGGGCTGGGCAGGAAGTTGGCCAGCCAGGAAGGGACCGGACCGTGGGAGGGCTCCAGGGCATGTCTGGCCTGCCTCACTCAGTCCTGATCGGCTGGACCCCGCATCAAGCTAACCTACTGGTCAGAGTGTCTGCCCCCTGTTGGTTAGTGCACATCACAGCAACTGGTCAACTGTCTTCACCCTGGTGGTCAGTGCCCTTCATAGCGAATGGTTGAGTGGCCTTAGCATATCATTAGCATATTACACTTTGATTGGTTGAACGGATGACTGAACGTCTGGACACTTAGCATATTAGGCTTTTATTATATAGGATTGCATTGAATCTATAGATTGCTTTGGGAAGTTTCGACATTTTAATGATGTTGATTCTACCAATCCATGTACATGGTATATTCTTCCACTTGATTATATCTTCCTCTATATCTTTTTCAACGTCCTGTAGTTTTCCAAGCACAGGTTTATTATTTCCTTGGCTAA